GGGCCCGGGGAGAAGAGGCCGGGGATTAGGGGCGCCGGCTGGCTCACCCAGACGGCCCTTAGGAGACGCGTGTCCCCCAGTTGTTGGGGAGCTCGCCGGGCGTGGAGGGGGGCAGAGCCTGGTGAGCGCTCCTGGGCCTGTTGGCCCGCTCCTGCCCGGCCCACGGGGGCGGATGCAGTTTTCCGTTTGGGGGAACCCAGGAGCCGCTGGAACCGGGGAAAGGGTCACTCCCTTCCCAGCTCCTACAATAACGACAGCGCCTCTTTCCTGGGCACTTGGTAACTTTATGAAAAGGGTTTTTCCGGGTCTGGGAAGATTTCTGACCCAAGGCAGAGAGAGGAGGGGGGAAAGCGAGATGAGGAACCTTTCATCCAAGGGCGTGTGTGACCTGTCGCTTCCGGGGCGTTTCCCGCGTTCCAGGACCTGCTGACGCTCTAAGCTGATCCTCAGGCATCCGAGCACGTGGCTGCTGCTTTAAGGCTGAGTCTCAGATGTGGTCGCACGGGCCTGAGTGTCTGGCTTTTAAACTCGTGTTGTCCTGAGCGTAGATGTTCCAGCTTCTCAGCAGCCGAGCCCTGAGCTGCCTGCCATCAGGCCTCGTCTCTGGGCATGTCCTTCCCCTGGGCACACGCCCACTTCTGGAGGCCGCCCAAGTGGCCCAGGGTCAGCCGGGCCAGAGCTGCCGGCGCCCAGCTCAGGGGCCACGTGCCTGGGAGCATTTGGCGACTGAGGCTTGGGAAGGCTTGTGGGAGCCCAGCCTGCGGGGGGCGGGGCGGGGGTGTAGGAGGCTCCAGGTGAACCCCAGCATCACCGCAACAGTCATCCTCACTGTTCCTTGGGGACAGATGACCCACAGTTAGAACCACACATGTTCCCAGAATTGTGCATCTTATAATTGCGAGAGCTGTTTTAAAAACACCGTTTTTGTGGTTAGATTATTATATAAGTGCATTTGCCAGAAAAATGAGGAAAAGAGGGGAAACCTGACCTGTGTGTCTGGTTTAAGGGTTTGGTCCTGGGCCTTTTACCAAACAGCCTCTCATGGTGACTGCCTGGCAGTTCCCGGGATGAGCGTGCCCTCCACACCCGACCTGACCGATAGTCTGTGGCCTTGGCCGGCATTTCTGAGTGTGAACAGCAGACTCCAGGGGTGTTCTCACCTCCGCAGGTTCACGCTGCCTCCTGTGCGTGGCCAGAAACGCGGGGGGGGGGGGGTCTGCCTGGCCTCCCGGAGCAGCTGCCACCCCCTCGTGGTCCTGGGTTTTGTCGTTGGTGTCGTCCGAAGTCCAGTGTTTCAGTCTGTGCCACGCCTTCCGCGCGGTTCTGTGTGTGTGTTGGGCCGGCCGGGCCGGGCGCTGCGCTCGGAGCCACGGTGGGTGTCCTCACCCTCCTGGATGTCACTGCGCAGCCTCCCGCGTGTGGCCTGGCGGGTGGGGCTCCCACGGTTCCAGCTGCGCCCCTTTAGCAGGAGCGACTTGTTCACCTGGGAAACGGGCTGATGGTGCCCGCTGCCCAGGCCCGGGCGAGAACGTGGTGAGCCACAGGTGGCAGATTGGCAGGTGCTCAAAGCTGTGTTATCTGTGACAGGTTGTGTTATCTGTGACAGGTTGCGTCACCGACCGATGGCCCCAAATAGCTTGTGTCCTGCTGTCCGGCCCCCCCGCAGAGGCAGGGTGTTTGGGGAGGGGTGGCCCAGGCCTGCCAGGCTGGGTCAGAAAAGGCAACCTCCGTTGAGTTTGCTGGAAGCCTCGCTGGTCCCCAACATCCCCCTCCCACGGGCCTGTGGCCACTGTGCTTTGGGGACGCCCAGGCTAGCCCCCGGGGGACCCTCTGAAGAGCAGCCGCTCGGACACCCCCAGGCATTGCTGCCTGGCCAGGTTCTCCCCAAATTCCTGACCCACAGAAACAATGAGAGATGATAAGACTGTTTAAGCCACTAAGTCAGTGGTTTTCAACCTTCTGGCCCTTTAAATACAGTTCCTCATGGTGTAACCCAACCATAACATTATTTTTGTTGCTACTTCATAACTGTCATGTGGATACTGTTATGAATCGTCATGTAAATATCTGATAGGCAGGATGGTCTTAGGCGACCCCTGTGAAAGGGTCGTTCGACCGCCAAAGGGGTCGCAACCCACAGGTTGAGAACTGCTGCAAGTTGAGGGGTAACCAAACATGGAGACAGGGCTCTGGGCGCACCCCCCTCTCTCCTTGCCAGTGGAAACCCGAGCCCAGCTGAGCTTCCCGGGCCTGCATGGCACCCACAGTGGTGTTGGTGCCCACGGTAGCGTGGTCCCCAGGGAGGGTGGTGTTGGTGCCCACGTAGCCTTGGTGATAAATCTCTTAGGGTATCTGACGAGGGGGGTGGGCTCCGAGCCCGTGGCACCCAGACCTCATTTCCGTGACGAGTGGACGGTGTCCCTTTCGGACGGGAACAGGCCTCACGGTGAGTAGATGCTGCAGGTCACACACTGGAGTCCCCACGGGGCACGTCGGCAGCAGGAGCGGGTCCTGCGGGAACACGCAGCCGGGGCGACGACCAAGGGCCTCCCGGGCAGTCACCGCCCCGGCCCGGCCCCTGGTCCTGGGCCTCTGGTGCGGCCCGTTCCTCAGCCCCCAGGACGCTCCGACAGCTGCCTGGGCCTGAGTCATCGGTTTTGTTGGTCCCAGCAAATATTTAATAAAAGATGGACGTGTCAAATGAACGGCTCAGCAATCAAAAACTTTTCTTTTTAAACATATTTTTATTGATCTCAGAGAGGGAGGGGGGAGGGGGGAGAGAAACATCCATGATGAGAGAGAATCATTGATCGGCTGCCTCCTGCAGCCCCACACGGGCTGGAGCCCGCAATCCGGGCCTGTGCCCTGACTGGGGATCGAACCCTGACCTCCTGGTTCATAGGTCGACGCTCAGCCACTGAGCCACACGGGCCAGGCAGCAGTCAGACACTGAACCTCGGCCGTGTCACCGCATCGTCCCAAACGCTCGGGACCACGGCTCCTTTAGCTTTTGTTTCTGGAGCTCAGATTCCCATTGAGGGAGCCTGTGGGGGCGCCAGGCAGCCCCATCGCTTTCCCTGGCGCGACTGCTTTGCCAGGGAGTACACACCCTCCCTTCGCTTCAGCTGTGACCGCAGAGCTTGTGTGCGTGGGCGTCGTGCCCGACACCCCAGGAGGAGCGAGGGGTCAGCGGTGTGCAGAGCCAGTTACCCTGCGGCTCCCCGGCCCCTCGGACGGACGTGCCGCTGGGAACGGCGCGGGGGTGGCTGACGGCCCGAGCGCAGGCTGCTGGGTCTGAGTCTACAGAGAAAGCGCCTTTGGGTCCGTGGCTGCTCCCAGGTCTGCATCTGCCGGTTTATTTTATGTATTTTTGTTAATTCTCGCCAAAACCGGTTTGGCTCAGTGGATAGAGCGTCGGCCTGTGGACTGAAGGGTCCCGGGTTCGATTCCGGTCAAGGGCATGTACCTGGGTTGCGGGCACATCCCCAGTAGGAGATGTGCAGGAGGCAGCTGATCGATGTTTCTCTCTCATCAATGTTTCTAACTCTCTATCTCTCTTCCTTCCTCTCTGTAAAAAATCAATAAAATATATTTAAAAAAATAAAAAATTCTCACCCAAGCGTCTTTTTCCATTGATTTTTCAGAGAGAGAGTGGAAGGGAGGGGGAGAGACAGAGGAACATCGATGTGTGAGAGACACACCGATTGGTTGCCCCTGCACGGCTGGGACCAGGGCCAGGGATCGAGCCTGCAACCGAGGTATAGGCCCTTGACCGGGAATCAAACCCGGGACCCTTCTGTCCGCAAACTGGCGTTCTCTCCACTGAGCCACACTGGCCAGGGCTGTGTCTGCCACGTGAAGGCTCCTGTCCTGACCCTTCCAGGAGGCCTCCATCCGTCCACCCGTTGTTGGTACTTGCTGTTGCCGGACCCTGCGTGTGCCGGGCAGAGCACTTGCGGGTGAGGGTGGGCCGTCACGTGGACCCAGCGGTGGCCTTGAACATGTCGCTTGTGTCCAGGAAGGTCAGCCCCGAGTGTCCTCCGCATCTGTGTCCCGGCAGGACTCGGCGCGGCGGGGAGGGAGAGCTGTGCTGCCCGGGCCCCGTGACGAGAGGCTGGCGTGAGAAGTACGACAGCAGGTGCGTGCACGTCCGCGTCAGCCCGAGTCCCTCCCCCACGGGCCGTCCGTGGTCACGCGTGTGACACGGGTGTCGCCCGGCTCGGTGCTGGGACACAGGTGGTTCCGGGGGGGAGCTCGGCCGCGGCTGTGGGCTTCGCTCAGGAGGCCCCTCCCCCGCCTCCTTCGGGGGCCTCCCCACGCCCGCCCTGGGGCCGCTGTTCCCTGTTCTGAGGTTCCTGTGCCTCATCGAGCAGCTGTTTCTCCCGAAAGCTCCCGTGGCGCCACCCACGTGCCAGTCACCTTTCTGCTCACCCGCCACCCACGCTCATGGCTTCCGTTCTCTCTCCCCGCAGCCGTTCTCCTTCCGACGTGGGTGGGGACCCCGGGACCTGCATAGCGGGCACAGCGGGTGGCAGGCAGGAGCCGATGGCAGAGGGCGCCTGTGGAGAGCGGCCACAGCGTTTGGACAGGTTCAGGCCTGGGGCTAATGAGAGGGCACGGTCCCCTCTCGTGGCAAAGCCACGTGCAGGTCCCAGCACAATTACAGCCAAAGGCTGTGGCTGTGAGCTTGACCTCATGGCCCGAACCTGTGGCCGCACGTGGCTGAGTGACGTGGGCTGCCGGAGGGGCAGCGAGTAAACAAAGCTCGATCAGGTGCGTGTGATTGAGTGGATTCGAAACCCCCGAGAGAATGTTGTGACCACGCCCTTGCTTTGCCTCGTGGGATCTACTGTAAAAGACTCGGCTTGCAGGCCGGGGCGCTGGCTCTCCATCAGGGAGGGCAGCGTCCCACCCGGCCCAGCGTTCTTCTCTTGTCTGTCTTTTCTCTAGTCCTCCACCGCCCCCAGCTTCACCCATGCCGTGCCGGCTCAGCACAGGCTCCTTGCCACCCTGGCTCCCTTCATGCGGCAAGACGGGGGCTCTACTGTCGGTCAGAGGAGGCCAGCTGCAGGTCCCAAGAGCGTCTGAGCTGTGCTGGCCTCCTCCCTGGGGGGAATCTGCCGCCAGGACACGGTCGAGAGGGGGCAGCCCCGCGAGGCCCGCGATCCTGGCGGCTGTGGCAGGGCGAGGTCTGCGCTTTGGGGGCCATCTGAGCGTGTCTCCCTCCTCAGGGCCATGGCTGCAAGATTCCGGCCCAGCGCTCCCCACACCAGCACTGCCAGCAGCGTGGCTGCGGCCCAGGGGCAGTGGGGCCGCGCCTGGTAAGGATCCTGGTGGGGAGGGGGCCGGCCTCGGGGCTGTCCTAGGCCATCACAGCGTCTCCTTGTCGAGGCCGAGGAGGGAAGCGGCCTCCGCTCTTATACGTGTAGCCGGGAACGGAAAAGGAAGCTGGAAACGCATACCCAGCAATAAAAAACAATGAAGCCTTGCCATTTGTGACAACATAGATGGGCCTACAGGGTATTATACGAAGTGGTCCCCGCAGCCCGCAGCCACCTTGCTGCGTCCAGGCACTGGGCCTGGGCCTCCTGTGGGTGCCCCGATGGCCCGTGCACGGCTGGAGGGTGCAGGTGGAGTGGCCGCCTGTGGGAGGTGCTGGCTGGCTTG